CCTGCCCTATCTATGTTTCCTGGTAAAATACATGGGAAAATCCCATAGGAGGAAAATTCCACTTAGGGTTAGGGTTAGGTCACCATGAACTCATAGAGCAAAATGGACATCGCCAACAAACTCGGAGTGCTTGGGTATGGTTAGGAGGGCACTGACTTTTGTAGCCTGCCCTATCTATGTTTCCTGGTAAAATACATGGAAAAATCCCATTGGAGGAAAATTCCACTTAGGGTTAGGGTTAGGTCACCATGAACTCGGAGAGGAAAATGGACATCGCCAACAAACTCGGAGTGCTTGGGTATGGTTAGGAGGGCACTGACTTTTCTAGCCTGCCCTATCTATGTTTCCTGGTAAAATACATGGGAAAATCCCATTGGAGGGAAATTCCACTTAGGGTTAGGGTTAGGTCACCATGAACTCGGAGAGGAAAATGGACATCGCCAACAAACTCGGAGTGCTTGGGTATGGTTAGGAGGGCACTGACTTTTCCAGCCTGCCCTATCTATGTTTCCTGGTAAAATACATGGGAAAATCCCATTGGAGGAAAATTCCACTTAGAGCCTTCATGGACCTGCCCATGTTGGTTTCATGGCAAGGGTTGAGAGCTCTGGGACTCCACCTAATACACTGTCATAGGATGCCCTGGTAGTGATTCGTCCAAACCTGGCCAAGGTCATCTCAGAGCTGCTCCATGCCAAGTAGCCAAAGAGGAGAGACGTCAACATCCAACCTCAGAGCCCAAACACAATCAGCGAAAGTTACCAAAAGGCAAGGACCTCCGAGGCCATCAAAAGAGCTCTCTGCCCTGCTCTGAACTTGTCCGAACGTGAGTGACAGGGCTGTTATCTAAGTGCTGTACAACTGTGACGCCCCCCCACGTGCCCCCATCATCGCCCTCCCCCTCCTTTCATCCATTCATCACCCACCTTGCATCCAGTTGAGGGAGCTTTCTGTCTTGATGGGTGGGCGGCTGCCAAGGCTACGAAAAATGGTGGGCTCGTTGCCCTGAAACTTGCTTACGGTACCCGTATACAGTTCACCATCTGAGAGAAAGCAGCCGTTATAGGGCCATGAGAAGCTTTCTGCCTGCACCACCTGGACCTCCTCACCAAGAGAATGGAGAGAAGACCACCCCCATATTGTCCAATGAGCCCAGGGAAGAGCATCCTTCCTTGCAGGCAGCAGCCCCTCCCCTCAAAGGCGCCCAGGGTAGCCTCTTTGAAACCCCCAAAGCTCCTTACCGACCGTGATGGCTGTAGATCTGTATTCCGGGTCAAAGGGGCAGCGCCCCTTCCCGTCCTCCAGCAAGAGCTGCCCGGAAGGATCTCGCTGCAGCTGGAAGGCTGGCAGGCTCTGCAAGGGGGAGGCCAATGATTGGTGACCCCCAACAAGAAAGGGCAGACCCACAAGCCCCACCAGTCTGAGCTGGTCGACGCTACACAGCCCCACTTTCAATCTGTCCCCTCTCCTGCAAGGCTCAGTGCTGCGAAAGATCTTCCATGCAATTTCTCTCCCGGGAAAGAGCCTGGATGCAAATTCTAACAGGGAGCTCACACGAGGAGGTTGCAGGCAAACCCAGAAGTTGTGCCCACCCACCCCCATAGCGGGCAAAGGGGGCTGTCCAGAATATGGCCTCAGGCTGGATCTTCCCACCAGTTGGGAGGAAGAGGGCCTGATCCTGCACAAGACTGTTGTCAGGCACAGACAACCAGACCCACAGATGTTCTGCCTATAATGCAGGAATCTCCCCAGTCTGGCAGCCTTCTCTAGGGAACAACTCGATAAGGCTCCAAGGAATTCAGGGAGGGCCGGTTTGGGTCCTTTCGCAGCTGAGCGCAGTGACTCCAGTCTAGCTCTGTACTTGATCCCCACTCCCTGCCAGGCTGGGTGGTTCCCAACAGCTGTCTGGGGCAGCTGTGAAAACCTTCACCAGCAACTCACTTCAGCCTGGGGCTAAAACATGCCTTATTGGGAAGGTCATTAATTTTAAGCTAGATTAAAGGCCTGCACCATTTCAGGACTCGGAGTTTGTTAATGCATGATAGGCAAGACAAAAATAACTAGGAACCTGGCTCTGATTTAAATAAAGCTAGTCTTATTATTCTGCTCCACAAAACATTCAACCACCTGCAACCAGGGATGGCCTCAAGATATGCCTTGCTAAGCCAAAGGAGACAAATGTGGGTGGGGGGGGGGGAGAGGGGGGTCTGGGATGGTCCTCACAATGTAGGTGCAGGTGGGGCTGAAGGCACTGGTCCCACAGGTGTACAGGTGGGTCTCGTTCAGCTGCAGCAGGACCTTGATGTAGTTGTGGCAGTCTCTCTGCAAAGGGAGGGAGGGAGGAAGAGGAGAAGGCTGCGCTTAGGACCAGCTGGCCACAGGAAGCTCCTGCTGAGTTTGGGCTGCTCTGGCTGCCCGGGGGGGGGGGGGAAAGAGACAACGCCCCAATGGGTCCCGGACTCCCAGCAGAATTGAGCATTGCTCTTCTTGCCAGAGTTTACCCCCCCCCCCAAAACTGGCATTACCCACCTGAGGGTCCTTGCCCTTGAAGATGCACTGCTGTTTCTTTTCCTCCTCGGCGTGCCAGATCAGCTACAGGAAGGAAAGCAGGCTGCCATCACTCACCCGGCAATGCCAGTCTTTTCTTACTTATACAGGCAACTGCTGGAGGCGAAACCACAACCAGATCCCCCCTGCCACCCTCAGCTTTTCAAATAGGGTGGCTGTGTGATGAGATGGCAGACAAGGGAAGTCACCCGGCTGGAGGCTGGAGGGAAGAGGGTTCTCACCTCGACCAATAAGGCATGGCTGCTCCTTCCAGCATGAGGACCAAAGCCTGGCTGACTGCCTTAGATGCTGCTACGGTAGTTAGGGACGCCCCCCCAGGACCTTTATTTTACCCCCCTGAAGCAGGGAAGGAGAGCCAAGAGACCAGGGCATCTGAACTGACCTGCTGGTGCTGGGGCCCGGGAGAGAAGGCGCTGGTGTTCAGAGCAAGAAGCATCTCGCGGGCACCAACGTACAAGACCCGGCCATCCGGGCTCAGCATCATTGTGGTATAGTTGGCGATTCCAGGCATCTGAAAGTCTCTCCACATCCGCCTCTGGGGAGAATCTTGGACTGCAGAAACGGGAGGCAGGAGGAGAGATGACCGTGAATAGATGTCCTGCCCCAGGCAGCCTCTTGGGCATCTAGCCTGCCCATAGTGGCAGAGGCTACAGGACCCACGTGCCTGTTTCCAACAAACAGTGGGTAGCGTGGTTTCCATTGTGATTTACCCGTTTGGCATTCAAGAAGCTGCTGCGCAAATCCAGCATCACATTCAGAGGTGAGCAAGCTAACTACCTCAGGTTCGCTCCCTTTATTATTTCCTAAGTTTCCCCCCCCCCCCAAATTAGAAACATCTTCCCTTGATGCCTCCCGACCGGTGGGCTAGCAGCAACAAGGGTGGGCTGGTCACGTGGCCTCTGCACCAGATATCCTGGCTTGCCTCCGAACACGCTTGGGGCACAACTGGCTACGCCTGTGGCCTCTCGACTGAGCCCGGACTCTCTCCCTGTTAGCAGGCAAAGCTGCTGCCCGCGACCCACCTGCAAGGGAGGCCGCCAATGGATCCAGGATGGATCTCTGCCTTCCCCAAAAGCATTTTGGGAAAGCCTTGCTAGGCCCAAGCCAGGCAGGCAGTGCAGGCCGGTCTGTGGGCAGCCATAGCACAGGAAAGAGACCACTTTCAGTACAAGAAGAGAGCGACGTTAGCAACACAGATGCTACACGGTGAAGGGTGTGTATTAATGTAATTTTTAATTTCCTGCCAGTCTTTCTCCCATCCCCCTACCTTCCCCCCCCCCCCCCCCCCCCCCCCCCCCCCCCCCCCCCCCCCCCCCCCCCCCCCCGTGATATGTGGCGGAGAAAGCAGCCCCAGGTTTGGCCATCCAAGTTTTACTATTTATTTAGATTTAATTCTTATTGTTCATTGTGTGTTTCTGGTGATAGGACTACTGATGTCCCAGGGGACCAGTAGCCTTATGGAATCGCTTCGCACGCACTACAATGCAGGGGCGATCTGGGCAGTAATCCAGGGAGAGATTATTCTGTCAGTGAAACAGAAAATCAATAGCTTAAATCAAGCAAAGCGCCTTCCAAAAATCTGCCTGAATGATGGATTAGAAAATCTGGTCAGAAACCCAAAGCTCTCTCGGAGCTTTCTTTCTTCCCTCCTGAAGCCATTTTCCTCTGTAAATTATAATGTTGGAAGGGACCACAAGGATCATCTAGTCCAACCCTCTGCAAAGGGTTAGACTTCTGCAGATGGAGAACCTGCCACTTCCGCAGGTAAACCCTTCCCTGCAACGGAGGGCTCTCCTTGGGCCTTTTTCCTCCCGTTACATGAGATCCAGGCAGCTGCAACCTGTGCCCAATATTTCTGGGGCTTTTTACTGTGACCACGGATGGTGGCTCCTGACCTTCTTCCCTGGACACAACCCTCCGGCCTCCCTTCCATCCGGCTCCTCCAGACCACCCTCAAGTCCTGTATCGTCTCTGCTGCTGCCCTCCGCTTTCAGGGACGTGCACAGAAGTGCTACAGGAGCCTCACCCGTCCTAATACCGCCCAGGAGAGGGACTGCACTGCTTTTGGACAGCTGCTTCTTAGTACAGCCCCTAATCATTTGGTCAAGTACAGGGTCTCTTTTCTTCCCACCCCCCCGCACTTGTGTGCCAGGAACAACAGGCAAAAAAGACGGTCCTGGCTCACCAGGCAAAGTCCAGCATCCTTTGGACTCCCAAGCCTGGGGGGTCCTGCACCTTTAGTTCTACAGCAAGCAGCTACCAACGAAAACTACCCCAGCTGGAAATATTGGAATATTTTGGAATTATTAGACAAAAAGAAAGGTCTAGACCAGGGGGTAGGCAACCTTGGCTCTTTTATGACTCGTGGATTTCAACTCCCAGAATTCTGGCTCAGGAATTCTGGGAGTTGAAGTCCACGAGTCATAAAAGAGCCAAGGTTGCCTATCCCTGGTCTAGACAGATGACCTCAAATTCTGTGAGCAGTTGAACTAACGTAAAAATGATTAAGATGAACTGACCAGAATTGCAGTTTTTACTTTAAGAGATATTATTTGCATTTCCTCATGCTGAGCCAAATGCAGCCCTTGCCCGAACACTTGTTCATCCCATTGCAGGACCCTGCGGGGCAGAATATGTGGGCTTCGGGCAGGGCTTACATGGCCTGCTGCCCCTCTCCTCCTCTGGGGTGGCCTGGCTCATCACTTAATTCAGCAAAAGGGATGCCTGGACCAGCGCTTCAAGCCCCCGGGCGCTCTCGGCCTCGGAGTAACTGTGCCAGCCCAGCTGCCAAGCAGAGCCGAGCAGCAGCAGCTTTGGGGCTGGGCTGGGCTGGCAGCTGGGACTCTAATACTCTTCAGAGCTGGATGGTGCCTCTGCTCCAGGTGGAGCCTCATGGCCACCTGGCAAGGAGTGGGTGGGTGGGGGGGTATCACTCCCTGGCATTCCAAACAGGGGGGAGGGGTGGACTCCTCCAGCAACACGGTGGCTCTGAAGCCTGGCTGAAGCCCCACCCAGTGTGACTTCGGCACTGCCCCACCTGGAAGGGGAAGCCTGCCCACTGACCTTGGCGGACCTGCTCTGCGCCAATCCTGCACAGCGGTGGAACCAGTTGGGACTGTCTGCAGCAAGTCTGTGCTTGGTGACAGGCTTGGACGGGCTCCAACTTGCTCTGCTTCAGGGAGGGCTGGCACGCCAAGGCCGGAAGCTCTCCCAGCATGGGTGGCAAAAACCAGGCAAGCCAGGCAGTTTTGTGTACTCCAAAGATAGTGGCACAGCCCCATCCCGGGAGTGCCCTACTGCCGGCCAGATTCCCACAGCACAGAAATGGATCTCTCTCCCACCTTTCTATGGGAGCCGCTTGAATGATTGTTTGATCTTCCACAGTTACTAAGTGATCTGTTACTAAGGTTAGTAACACAGTTGGCCTCCCCATTGCCTTTGCTTGTCAGAAGGTCGCAAAAGGGACCACATGACCCCAGGGCTCTGCAACCATCATAAATATGAACCAGTTGCTAAGCATCCGAATTCTGATCAGGTGACCCTGGCGATGGTGCCACGGTCGTAAGTGTGAAAAATGATCACAAATCACTTTTTCCAGTGCCGTTGTAATCTCAAACGGTCCTTGAACGAATGGTTGTAAGTTGAGGGCTACCTATACTTCCTGGTTCTTCGTTCCACAGGGATCCTCAGCCCCACTTTCAGCAGAGTCTGACTGGCCAGGGGCCGTAATAGATCTATTTGATTTCAGCAGAGGGCAATGGCGATGGGACAGGATCTTGAGGACACGGCCTATGAGAACAGACTGAAGGAATCTGGGATGCTCAGTTGGAAAAAAAAATACAACTTGGGGGACTTTATGAGAAATCTACGATTCCATGACTCCAGGGTCACGAAGGGACCACAATGGATAGCAGGACCTACAAAAAGCATCTAAGTATCTCAATGGATCACAAATTGGAGATGAGTCAACAATATGACGCAACGTGATTCAGTCTACAAGCCACACAATCCCAGACTGCTTCAACGGAAGTACAGCATTAAGATCTAGATCAAGATCAAGTTCCTCTCTAGTCTGGATTGCTCTGACCACACCTAGAAGGGCAACTGCTGTATTTCAGCACCCCTGAAATGCCGTGGCATGATTGAGGGCTACAATTTAATAAAAGGGAACAAGTCCACGAGTCATAAAAGAGCCAAGCTTGCCTACCCCTGGCCTAGACCCATACTCCAATCTAGGCAGCCCGGCTTGAGGGGGCAGCCAGGCAGCCCGACCCAGGGCCCAGCAACTAGAGGCAGGCTGACTACCACAGCCCTCTCCCTGCATCCTTCCAGCCCGGCAGCCCTCCCCAGTGGAGATTTGCCTCAGGTGGAGGACTTGATCAGCGTTCCCTCCCCAGAGAGATCAGCAGCCCCCCCCCACCTCCTTCTAGCCTGGCAGCCCATCTGGCGGAGGACAAAGGGCCTGGAGCACCAACAAAGGGAACCGGTGGCTGTGAGAAATTGGGGGTGGCAAAATCTGTGGAGGGGAGAAAGGCAGCAACAGCAGCCGAAGTTAGAGAGCTCTGATCTCCAAATTGAGCAGCTGGCTGAGTGGGGTGGAGTGGAGCAGACCAGACAGCAGAGTGGAGTTGAGCTGACCACAACAGCAGGCCTGACCAGAGCAGAGACAACAAGAGGCCGGAGCAGCGAGTAACAGAAGTGAAGGCAACAATGCAGTTTGAGGTCCCAATAGGAAGGGAGGGAAGACCCCAGTAGAGAATAAAAATAAATACAGGACAGAAAATAAAAGCTATAGAAACAGGCAAATAATAAGGACAAGAGTGGAACATTAGAAAACAAGGAAGAATAGGATTAATAAAGAGGTCTCCCTCTGACCCACACATTTTTCCCTCCCGCACACACCATGAGCAACTTGGCCAAGGAGAGCGAGCCAATCAGCAGCAGCCTTGAGGGGGGGGGGTAAGCCAGTCGGGCGCCCCCTTGGGAAAGTTTCTTTCAACATATTAATAACAAGAAAAAAGTCAAGGAAAGTGTACGTCCACTAAAGAGAGAAGATGGCAAGGAAATAACAGACAGTGGGGAGAAAGCAGAGCTGCTTACCTCATGATTTGCATCAGTCTTAACACAACAAGAAATTATAGCCCAACATACTAAAAAAAAACTACTGTACTGCAAAAGACAAACTAGAACAGTATTTCTCAACCTTGACAATTTTAAGGCATGTGGACTTCAACTCCCAGAATTCCACAGCCAGCATTGCTGGCTGTGGAATTCTGGGAGTTGAAGTCCACATGCCTTAAAATTGTCAAGGTTGAGAAACACTGAACTAGAAACAAAAATTAAAATAAGCAAGAAAATGATAAGAGAACACCTATCCGACCTTGCCGAATATAAATCACCGGGACCCGACAGGCTACATCCCAGAGTTCTGAAGGAGCTGGCAGATGTTATATCTCAGAACCATTGCACAACATCTTTCAAAAATCCTGGAGCACCAGGGGAAGCACCTGAGGATTGGAAAAAGGCTGATGT